AAAATCTGATGAAGTATGTAAAACACAAAGTGATGAAATATTTGGTAATGTTTTAGAAGAAAAATGTTTTAGAAGAGACAAAGATCTTTTAGAAAGTAGGGAAAACTCTGAAAATCTCTCCTTTGTTTCAGACACAGAAGAAGAATAAAATGAATTCAATGTTGTAAATAGGGAATAGGAACAAAAGATTTTAAAAACATTTAGTTTTTAAGTGTGATTGATTTTAAATAAACTTCTTGATGCTGCTTGATGTTTCATAGGGTCTCAATATAAACAATATCTTTAATGTTGACCCTTTTTGTTAACATACTGTAATATAACTGGTTTCTGATAATGCACTGCTTTTGAATAAATTTGTACAAACTTTACATATATTAGATTAGATTAAAATTTATTAGAACAGTGATACATGTTCTAAAGGACACGCAGGTCCATATATATGAAGGACTCTGACAACGTGCCCAACAATCACATAATACATATGCTAGATAATTATAAAATATATATAACATAATATTGTATATAAAAAGGTTCATTAGTGCAAATGATTATCAGTTGTTTATTTAAAAATTTTAATAAGGCTTTAATGGTTTAGGTCGGAAATGATGCACAGTTGCTATGGATGGTAAAATCAGCTGAAGGAGTAGGATCAAATATTTGGTATGCACAAGTAAGTTTCAATATTTGGTATGTACAAAGTAAGCTTCAATATAATACTTAATGTTTGATATGCACAAGTAAGTTTCAATATATTACTAAATATTGATAGAAGGAATTTCATATTTCATAAATATTTTATTTCTTTGAATTTCAGTAATTTTGATAAAGCTAATACAAAAAATCCAAGTAAAGTAATAAAATTAGAAATATAATAGAATAAACAGAAAAAATATTAGAAAATAGAAGTTTATTAGAAGATTTGATGGAGATAATTTAATCTTATTTAGGTTAATAACAACTTTAATGTAATAAAGTTTTTGAAAAATTTTTAGGTTCAAAAACTTTAAAAACCATCAACTACTTGCCTTTTCAGAAATGAATATGACATTTAAAAAAATACAACCATATGTTACAATATACAACCATATGTTACAATATACAACCATATGTTACAATATACAACCATATGTTACAATATACAACCATATGTTACAATATACAACCATATGTTACAATATACAACCATATGTTACAATATACAACCATATGTTACAATATATAACCATATGTTACAATATACAACCATATGTTGCAATATACAACCATATGTTACAATTACCATATTTTAACACTTTTACTAGTTGCATTAACTTATGGTTATGGCCTTTAAATAAATTTATAACTATTCAAAAATAATTTTTCAAAATTTTGAGGTTTGCATTTCAGTTTCAAAATAAAATTTTTTTAAATAAATATAAATTAAGATCAACAGACCAGGTCATCATGATTTTGTTTTTCATGGTTATTTTTTCAAAACAAATCAGATTTTGGCATACGTTTTATTTTAAATGAAATAATAAAATATGCCAAAATCTTATTTACTTTAGTAAATAATTGACATTTTAATTTTTAATTTGCTTTTAGGATGCCTGTGGTGGAATATGGCAGCTTGATCTTTCCTTTTCACACATTGTAAGCAAATTTTATTATTTTAATTATATAGTTTAAGATTGTACAAAAGCATATTACTATAGTGAGCAAACTCTTGAAAGTTTTATATTTTTTTCAATTCGCCTCAAATATTAGCCAAGTTCTATTAGCTGCCTAAGACAATGCTAAATGTAATATTACATTTTAATTTCCATTAAATATATAAAAGTTTATAAATGCAATTAAAAAGTTTTATTATTTTATTTTTTATTTACAAGACAACTTTACAATTTATTTTACAAGAATTTGCGACTGGTTTTTTTGGTACGAAGATTTTAGACTTGATATTAATGAGTTTAGAAAATGGTGTGCATAGTTGAGTTGTTCAAATCTTTTCATCACAGTAGTGCACAAGGTTAAAATTACATCTCATTGAAAGAAAGGTTGGATAGTCAAAGTTTTGAGATGTGGAAAAGCTTGATTAGGTTTGTATTATGAAGTAAAGTTGCTCAATCAGGTAGTTGAGTATTTCCAAAGTCATCCCTAAATTATGTCACACATTTTTCGATAGTTTTTGTCCTCCCCCTTCCCCTTTTTCACAATATTGTTACACTTAAGTAGCAGGTTTTGTATGAGTTGTCACTAAACCACTAACCCCCCTCACCTTTTAGCGTGGCGTAATTTATGGATTACCCCTAAGCTGGTGGCACAGAAGTTTAAGGTGGTTTAGATAGAAACATGATGATGGATACATTAGATGAGGACATGATGGATAGAAAAAAATGTAGAGTTGAAAGTCGGAAAGTCAGAAAATAGTGTGTAACATGAAAAAGTCTAACTTTGTAAGGTTTTTAAAATATGTATTTAAAAAAAAAAGAATTTTGTTTTTATGTTTTGTGAATTTTGTTTTTATGTTTTGGACTTTATCAAATAATTTCATTTAAAGTTTAATTAGAATGAAAAAAATAAGTAAATAAAAGACAGTTGTTAAAGCTACTTTTTAATTCGAATTATGTAAATAAAGACCAATAAACATGTTCATTATTTTTATTAAACTGTTTCAAAATGTGTTTCTTTAGAGTCAAGCTCCTTTGAAGATATTTTCTTATCATTCTGGTAAAATAAATGCATTAGCAATGTGTCCAAATGCACACTGCATTGTAACAACTGGTGATGATGGTAAAAAATCATTTTAATGGAAATTTAATTGACTAATAAAAATTGATTGACTTTTTATAATAAAAATTAACTAATAAAAATGAGGTTTTCCTGATTTAATATTTCACTTTTTTTTTTTAAAGAAAAAAACCCTGCATAATTAGCTCTATATATACACATAATTAGCTAAATATGTTTAAGAATTGACTGTTTTATGCAAATATTAATAATGAATAATTGATATTATTAATAAATGTAAATACATATAAAATTAATGCCAACACATACGCAGATATATCTAAAATTAATGCATATAATGCAATCACTTTTACAACAACTTACTGACTGCAATGCATTTATATATGAGAATTTTTATATTTGAGAACATCTATAATTATGTATACTTATGTATAAATATGTCAACTATTATAATTATGTATTTAAGAATAATTCAGTATTTATCAGTTAATTTATTAGCTATTAGTTGTTAATATCTTGATATATAAACTAATAATAACTAATAATATTATTAAAGGTAGCGTACGCTTGCATGATTATGAGTCAAAGCAAACACTGTGTGAGCAGAAGTTTAATGCAGCTGGTTGTTCTGCATTGTGGATACCTCAATCGGTATTTTAATATAAAAAATTCAATTTTGTGTATCTTAATATTTATTCTGTTATCTTATTTTATATTTTTATATTCATTATCTGCAAAAATAATTGATAAAGATTTTTAATAATTATTTTTATATGAGGTTGAAACTATACACTAAAAAAAAATGTTTAAATTTCTACCATTCGGTAATATATCATATTTTATCCCTTTAAGGTAAAAAATTGCACCTTTAAGGCAAAAATTTATATAAAAAAATAGTCATAATGGTGTAATTTGCTACCTTAAGGGTATAATATCTACCTTAAAGGGTTTTCTACCTTAAGGTGTAGGATATATGATATACCCTAACGGTAGGGTATGTGGTATACCCTTAAGGTTAGCCCTACCTTTTTTTTTTTAATGTGTGTGTTTTTTTGTATAGCATTATGTTAATAATTATGATAATAATAATTTTGTATAACATGATGTTAATATTCTGTTTCTTTATTTTTGATTTTTTAAACAAAATTTACATATAGTCAATAATTTTCCTTTAAATTTTTTTTTACTAGGTTAATAAAGAGTCTTCATCATTTTTAGTGGGCTTTAGCGATGGTGTGGTTCGCTGGTTAAATATAATTAAAAACTCAAACAAACATCATAAGTTGTCTGATTATTCATTTAATTTAAAGCAAGCTATCAAACCACACTCCAAAAAAGTTACATGTATATCTATGCATAACCAAGGAAAGTTGTTAGCTACTGGGGTTAGTCATTTTTAAAATTGTTTGATTTAGTTCACAGTTTGTCAGTTTAATAAGAGATAGTATAAAAGTCTTTTTTATTTTTATCAATGCAAAAGAGACTATCAAGAGTTTATTAATGAAAAGAAATAAATAGTCAAGATAATAAGAATGTTTATATAAAGGATTGTTTTGAATTTTTGATTTTTGTTGGAATTTAATTTTATTTAGAGCGAAGAAAGAACAATTTTTTTCTTCAGTGTTGGATTAACTCTAGAAAGTATAGGATTTGTGAATGTTGGGGATTGTGTAGTTTCCCTTCAGTGGTCTATTTATATGGTAAACATTTTTTATTTTATTTTATTTTTTTTATACTTTTTTTATTGTTCACACACACGCACACACACACACACAGATATATATATATATATATATATATATATATATATATATATATATATATATATATATATATATATATATATATATATATATTATGTATATATATATATATATATATATATATATATATATATATATATATATATATATATATATATATATATATGTATATATATATATATATATATATATATATATATATATATATATATATATATACACATATATTATATATATATATATATATATATATATATATATATATATATTTATATATATATATATATATATATATATATATATACACATATATTATATATATACACATATATTATATATATACATAATATTTTTTATGTCATAAATTGATGAACTTTGGATCAAAAGTAATGAAAATGGGTTTTATTCTGAATAATTTTCAAAAAAGTTACACACAACACAAAATTTTAGCATTATGAATTTTTAAAGTTTAGAATTTTCTTGAACCTTATGGAACTTTCTAAAATTTTCTAGACTTCTATATGTTTTTAGAAATCTATGTAACTTTCTAGAATTTTCTGGAGTCTTCTCGAAGTTTATGGAAATTAGCAAGATTTAGACTATATAAGCTGCCTGATTGAGCAACGGTAATAATTGTATATGAATCTGAATTTGCCAGATGGCAATCAAATAATGTAGAGCTTTTATATTTATTATTATTGCCTTTCTGAAATATATTCAAGTATTATCTTCAATCATAATGTCCTATAAAAGCTTCCACTATTCCACTGCTGTCCTATAAAAGCTTCCACTACTGAAACAAGATGATCTGGATAAAGAATCTTGCATGATTTTATGAGTCACATTGGAAAAGAAAACCTATTCCAATAGAGGAACAATTACTGAAAGATAAAAGCAAGATATCACTAAAAATCCAATTTGTTGGGCCTCACAGTGACTTGTAAATTTTAATTCCAATTAAACTCATCTATTTACTACAAACAACTATCGTAGTACTGTTGACATTCCTATGTTAATGAATGGCAACCCTCTCACTAAGTCCTCTTTTTTACATCTTCTTGGACTATTGTTTACTACTGAACTTTCATGGAAATCATATAAACAATCGGTTGCTAAATTAGCATCAGCTAATGTTGCTTCTCTTTATCGTGCTTACCATTTTCTTTCTCCTGATTCCATTCTCTACCTCTACAAATCTCTTATTCGTCTCTGTATGGAATGTTGTTGTCATTTTTGTGCTAGTTCTTCTAATGATGCTTTTTCTCTTCTAGGCAAGGCATTGTAAATGTAGTTGGACCCGGTATATCTGCTAAGCTTGAGACACTTTTACATCGTTGTAAAGTTGCATCTCTTTCTGTTTTCTACAAATACTATCATGGTTGCTGCTCAAAGGAGCTATTATCTCTAGTTCCATCAACTAAAACTCATTCTCGCTTGACTTGTCATTCATCAAAGTCTCATTCTTTTACTTTATGTCCCTTCATGCTCTAAAAATGTTTGTCTAGTTTTTTTTTCCGCACCTTAAGCCTTTGGAACTTACTTCCATCTTCATATTTTCATAGTTCATACAATCTTCAACATTTTAAGTCTTCTGCCAACTGTTTCTGTAACTCTATTCTTTTTTCCTAGTAAATCCTAACTTAATAATGGTTGCTCACAGCCTTTTTAGGAGTGAATCAGAATAAAAAAAAGAAAAATGTGTAAAACAGAAGAACAGTCCACAAGCAAGATCTACTGCAAAACCAAAGTTATAACCAAATTAGTAAGTTATTAACCAGCAAAGCAGCAATCATTTGTCAACAGTTTCTCAAGATGAGATCGACGTTCAGACACCTTCACGATCTGGTATATTTAGATCAACTATTAAAGAAGACTATTAATTGTTAATATTGAAGAATAAACAAAGAGAAGTTAAATTACAAGCACTAAATCTACTAGGCAGTAAAGCAAATACTGTTGTTAAAGGTATAACAGCTTTTTTTGATGAATACAAGTTTATGAAAGAGTATAATGATTGTAGATGATACTACAAATGTGAATACTGGAAAAAGGAATGGGATTATCATATGACACTGGAATAAGGAATGGGATTGTCAGTCAGTTACAAAGGCATTTTACTGAAAAGAAACTGGAAGAACCTCAATTCATTGGTTGTCAAAATGATGTTCTTGACATAGTAGGTGTTTAATATTTAGATGTTCAAATGATATTTTTTAATGAGCCCTTTGCGTAGTTATGAATGAAGAACTTTGAGGAAACAACATGTTGCCCAATATCAAATATTCATTTATCCCGGAACTTGTAAAGAACTGCAAACGATTCAGAAAAAATTTCAAGAATGGTAAAGAAGTGATTACCGAAACAGCAGGATGGCATGATGGTATGAAATTTCTATTTGATTGATCTCTTACAGATTTTTTTTTTGTTGTTGTTTTTTTGTTAATCACCTCCTCAAGGCCGGGAAGACCACTACAGATGAGGAGGCTACTTAATAGTAATTATAGCCCTCTCTCAACTCTACAACTCCAAATCACGAACCTTAACGAACAAGGCCGCTGCGCGGAGAAACAAGTTGAGCGCAGTACTACCAGGGATGTGGTGGAGATCCAACTCAGAACCTCTTGCTTATGGAGCTAGCATTTTACCACTACACCACTACCACATAATGAGCCAACCATTAGTTTATTGACCAAATGTACAATGCAGATGATCATCAGAAGCTATGTAGCAGCATAGTCACCAATAAGCATTAAACTAAGTGAAAAAGTTTTGAAAGAGTGCAGAACAAGCAATCAAGTATCAATTTTGTCTAACAAAGCGTAATAATTGTATATTATGCTTTGAATTGTATATGTGATGTAACAATAAAAAGTTAAATGTTTTATGATTACATAATAACTCTCTAATTAAAAATCTAGAATAAAATAACGATCATAAAATTGTTTGAAATATTATCCATACGCATATATGGTAAATTCAAATTTTTGATTTGTGGGTGACCTTTTTCAAC